CGTTCTACCCCACTTAAAACGTTTTGCTTTCACGACATTATGAGGCCAAGATCATGATTATCAGACCAAGATACACCATTGATAGCCAAATCTGAACGCTGCTTGCCTGCGGACTATGAAGCGCCTTGACAGTAAGCTCAACGCAACCGACCCTTTCAGAATTGCCTTCACTTAATTTCCTTTAGTATTCCCCTCACTACTCTGAATTGCTGCGTACTGCGGTCTTTTTCCCGCTCCGTGCAAATTGCTGATGCGTAGCGAAGGTGGGAGGAGGGAGGGGGGGGGGGAAGGAGGGGCGAGCGCCCGTTTTCTATTTTCCTTTCGTCAAGCGACAAAACCGTACCATATCGTTCGTATCGGTCGTCCTCCACCAGTTGCTACGGCTTACCCGCTTCAACAGCTGGTGAAAAACGAGCTGGCACGCGCAAAGCCGAGCCTCACTGACAGGCCAACATCAATTACCCAGCGAACAAAACTGTAATACATTCTGGACCCGGTAAATAGCATACGTTTTTTCTGTCGAAGAAATCGGTGTTAGATTCACAATCGAAAAAATATACAAAAGTTGCGAAGTTACCCGCATAGGACTGTCCGCACTGTGTGGAATACGATATATTTGCCCACAACTTCTCATGCAAAAATTACTTTCAGAATCAAACAACGCACTGAAACTGTTTATTTGAAACCATACTGGGAAAAAGTCCACGCTGACTGTATGGGCGGAGTCAGGCCAACCACTGTGCATTGCCATTGATGAGCCTCTCCCCTTGGGAAGGGAATACGAAACAATTAGAAAGACACGATGATATACATGACTCCGCCCACACGACCAGCATGGACTGCAGTTTCAAAGCGCTTGCACCAGCCGTTCTGCACATCAAACATTTTTACAAAGCTTTTTTCCTCCCAGAAATGGTAATTGATACCGAACTTGCACAGGAGGATGAAGACACTGTGCAGAGCAACGATCCTGTCGCAAAGTCATCGTATGAGCCAAGTGCAGAATCTCCTCATACGATTCCAAGTGAAAGCGGAATGTGAGGCGCAATCCAAAGGGCATGATTGATGCTGAGCACCTCATCCTATCTTCCTTCAGTTCAGTGCGAGGCAAATCATCGGGTTCATTTCGCGGGACAAGCTGTTGTAACCTTATCTATGAGTGGATTATGATGCAGCAAAAACTGCACTATTCATTGAATTTTCTCACGCCAAAGCTATGATACAACGTATCAACGTCAAATGATACGTGATGTCTCAATGCATCCAGCGCCATCGAAAGAACTTCGAAATTAGGTCACTGGCCACTACTTACCCTGCCGCCGTTCATGCCGGGCCTAGTCACCGGAAACTCGCGGTAGCAAAGTAATTCCTCATTACAGGGGCTACGCTGTCATTAGGGTCAAAGTGCAGCCCCATGTTAGAGTCAACCAACTACTACTACGACTCCCCGCCCCCACTTACGTGCTACATCAGTGACTTCCTATCAGGTTACTGAAGAGATGTGTTCCAGTAATTTGACCCCGTTAAAGTTCCGGCGGACATCACGTCATGCTGCTGACGCATCAGCTCTATAACATCGTGACACTAGAACATTTCACAACAAAAAAACAACAGAAAAAAGCAACGACCCTCCAATGGTGCGGTCATACTCCGCGACTGGAGCCATTCCGCCGCACGATTTGAAAATCGTGCGATTGCGACTGACAGCCCTCCCCCTCCGCGCTGATCGTTCAACCGCTGCAACTGCTTTTCGAATCACATGGATGATAAACCTCCATTCGGGCTTTGCAGCGGTCCAATGATTAGAGGTGGAGCGCGTGGTCAGCCATGCCGTGCCGTGCCGGTCGGTCGCGCGATTAGACTGCTCCAGTCATGAAGTATGAACGCAACCTAACAAACATTTGAGATTACTCTGGGGCTATTTAGCGTGATTCTACCTAGGAATATAACTGCGATCTGCTAATTTTCATACCTCCCCCCTCCCGAAGTCTATCTAGAGATGGATGGGAGTACACAGGCATTCTGTCAACTATTAGAAACAATAATATGGTGACATTACCGAAGGAGGGGGGGGGGCAACACGTTCAGAACCCGTCCTGCCTAGGGGAACAGTTTTGCAGAGTACGATTCCTCATCAAAATTTCCTCTTCTGGTGCAACCCCCCCCACTCTGTTTGCTTATCCTCAATCCCACCTACCATCTAATTCTTTCAACTTTCTAGCCCTTCCACCATATTTTTTTGAAATTTCTCAAGTTCTCCACTTTTCCCCAAAAACTGTCTTCTGGGGAGAGGGTGGGCGGATGTAGAAGACGTGAAATGGGAAAAACCGAGAGAAGGCAATAACCAAAATCTTTCTATCGAAGACGAATACGACCCCCTCCCACCTCCTCCGGGAACCGAATACAACCCCCTGGCTGGGAATCCCCAACGTGCACTCCCCATGTACCCTGCACACGTCGACTCGAATCTTATGCGCAGCTCTAATCATTCCTAACTCAACAAAATACCAATTAATTAATATCAAGCTCAATGGTAACAAGTCTGCAAGTCCGAGATTGTCCCATGCAGGGACAAAGCCATGCAATTCAAATAAGGTCTTAAGCGGATCTGCTATCAATCGAAACCACATTTAAATCCGCGTCGTTTTCACACGGTTTTATTTACTGAAGTGCCCTACGTCACATCTTTCGAAATTTATCACATAAAAAAAGCTCCTTTGAAGTCCTTTGTCTATTAGACATCAAGGACTGAGCGCATTCTATGCAAAAACGACACGTAATCGACGTTGATGAATCCCTATGGGATACGTGTTCCGTATTCAAATTCTTGCATGACTCATAGTCTCTGTAAGCGTAGGGGACCTATACAAAAAATAGTAGAGGCTCATTGACATCATCCCGATGAGGTAGGGTTCGAATGGAAGAATCATCATTACTGTGTGACGCCACCATGTCTAATTAAACGTTAAGTGGTCAATCTCCAACAGCCTCTTTGCAGTGAGCCTAGCACTGGACGTCCAGTGAAAACCACAGATGCATTTATAGATGTTTAACTGTGCAAAGTCAGCATTCAGGTCAACACGTTCCATCTCCTCCAAGAAATCTACTCCTAAAAATCCCCGATCCCGGGAAGAGAGACAAACCGGAGCATTTTCCGCCCAGCAAGAAACGCGGCGGTAGAGCTTTCGTAACCATGTCCGCTTGTGTGAGCTAGGAATCCTGAAACTTGGCTCGACGAGGTCAGTCCCTGGTCTTCATGCCAACAGAGTAGCTTCATTTTCTTTAAATTCTACCCCTGCGGCTCTAGCAATATGGGATGGTGGGTCACGCCAGGGGCTACGTCATAAAATAGTAGAAAACGACAAGGTCTAGAAAGAACAGGGCGGAGCAGGGAAGATCATCGAGATGTGTCGAGCGATGTTGTCAGAACGTCCCTACAGCAAAGAAAGGCCTCAGTACGACCCCTTCCACACCTACCTTCTCTCGTGTTACTGATTTTTTTTCTCAGACTTTTGCCACCGAGCGAGATAGCTCGGCGAGGAGGGGATGGGATCGGAAAACGCGAAACGGGAGCAGCAATTGAAACTGATTTCTCACTATGCCAAAGAAGACCCTCCTCTTCCAGCGGCTGAGTACGACCCTCCCCTTGATGGCACTAAGGTAGAGTGAATCAGCGTTTCCACCATATCAAGCGGAAGTCGAGAATTTGGAGCGGTTTTTAGCACCTTTTTGGCAAATTGTGCGCTACCTCTGCTAGCCCAGTTGCCGGTCATCCCTTCCCCTAATCCTAATTCAGCCACGACATCAGCTATAATAATATCGCCGAATTTGTGTACATTTTCTTAATCTGTTTTCTCGAGCGTAATGTTAAGAGGGAGATGGTTATTTAGTGAAAGAGAAGAGAATCACGAACACTCTAGATAAACTCGTTCCTCACTATCACAATGGACACTATAATGCCTTCATGGAAAGCATGTGATCGCTGGAAGGTTGAAATGTGCCCGAAAGACTTTTTCATCCATACCGCACCCAAAATTGGGACGCAATTTCTGTGCGGCAAAAACGGTGCATCCTAGCAATGGGACGCAATGACGCCAGCGAATCGTTGCTTTGCTTCGTCTTTCTTTCTTCATAGCACAAAGACGGGGACGTCTAAAGGCGCAGAACGTTCCGTTCATAGTTCCCGACATCGACAATTCAGTCGCGCGACTCAAGCGTGACTGTGACTCTGTCATCAGCGGTAGGAAGTGTTCTTTTTTATTTCTATTTTGTTGACTCGTCAGCAGATTTGATTTCGAATCTCACTTCCCGTGGCGAACATAAAACCGCTCTTGTGGCACAACTGAATCGCTCGTGCTGTATGAACGCTGCCTTTTTGGGTTGAATTTGGCCACTTATCATGGATCA